CGGAGCTGCCCAACCGTGTGGTCGTGAAACCTGCCCCCACGTTCAGCTCCCAGTCGAACCCTTCCGAAAACGCCAACGGCATCATCCAGGCGCAGTTCCGCACGAGCAGGGGCGCGCTGGAGGCACGACTGGGGTCCAGGGTCCGCCCGGGCACGGCCATGCACAAGTGGTTGCAGCGCCGCGCGGGCTGGGCACGCACCAACCTGAGGATCAAGGCGAGCGGTCGCACCGAACGTGAGGACCTCTACGGCCACGCCTGCACCGGGGGGATGGCCACCCCAGGGGAGTCCGTCCTGGCGCGCCTGCCCAGGGGCAAGAATCGCAAGGCGAGAGGCAAGGTGTACCACAAGGGTGACATGGGCTTCGCGAGGGCGGTCTGGCTGGGGAAGAGCTACGACACCGACGAGCACATCTGCGCCCTCGAGACGGGTTAGGTGATCACGACGAGGGCCGTCAAGAGGCTGCCCGAGGAGCGGAGGTTCAATCGCACCGCCGTGGCGGCGATCACGCACATGCCGTGGCAGCGCCGAGGGCAGGGCACGGCCCCGCGCGGGATCGAGCCGATCGTCACGCCCCCCGCCGCTGCGGACGCCGACGTGGCGGCGCAAGAGGCAGCTGAGGCGCAGCCAGGCCCGACCGCCGCAGCCCAGTCCAGTGCGCCCGCCGCGCCAGGCGGGCCAGCGGCCCGGACGGGCACGCCCGTGGCGGCGCCCTCAGCTGGCGCGGCGGGCGGCGCCGAGGCGCCTGCTGGGGGCAGGCAGGCGGGGCCAGCAGCGTCGACGTCGGCTGCGGGAGGCGCTGGAGACGACGCCCCCATGACGCCGCGGGCTGCAGCGCCAGCGAGTGTGGCTCCGCAGTCGCCTCCGATGGGCCGATCGCCGAAGCGGCCTGCGGAGGAGGGTGACAACCGTGGCACCCTTGCGCGGTCTCGAGTTAGCGGAGTAGCAGCTGAGCATTGCGGTGACGTTCGGCCTGACTTCCTGCAGATCCTCAGGGACATGGGCGTCCCAGATCCCCACGATGCGTCGGACTCGCAGTTGATCGAGGCTTCCACCCGACGGGCCCTCGACGGCCTGATGCAGTACGGGGTGGGCAAGCTTGTCAAGCGGAGCGAGGCCGTCGGCAAGCGGATCAGTGCCCGTTGGGATCACGTCTACAAGTGGGACGCGAACCTCGGGTGCAGGATCGCGAAGTCGAGGTGCGTCGCGCGAGAGTTCAAGTGGCAGGAGTATCGCGTCGACCTCAGGGAGCAGCATGGCCGACAGCCGAGTGGTGGACTACGTGGCTCTGAAGCACGGATGGCCCACCTTCACTGTTGACGCGGAGGACGCGTACTACCACGTCCCCGAGGAGGAGGGCGCGCGGGTCGAGTGCCCGCCTGAGGTCCTGGAGGAGTGCCGCGCGAATGGCGACGCCGAGGACTGCGCGTGGCAGCTCGCGAAGCAGTTGCCGGGGCGGCGTGCTGGAGGGAAGCGCTGGGTCGAGTTCGCCGCGGAGCAGCTCATGGCCAGGGGCTTCGAGCGGTCGCCGACCGCGCCCCAGTTCTTCTGGCGCGCCGAGCTCCCATGTCTGGTGGGGCTACACATGGACGACATGTACGGCACCGCGCCTGGAGTTGCAGTGTCCGGCTTCGTGCTGGACCTGGGCCGTAACATCAAGGTGAAGTGGTCCGGCCTGCAGGGCGAGGGCGCCGACTGCGAATTTCTCAGGAGGTGGCGCGTGCGAGAGGCCGGCGCCCCTTACATCCAGCCCAACGAGAAGTACCTCATAATGCGCTGGAGGCGCTGGGCCCTGAGGAGGCCAACCCGCGCGCCACCCCGGGGGTGGAGGCGCGCAGGACAGGCAGCGATGAAACGCCCGATCTCAGTCCAGACGGGGCTAAGCTGTTCAGGAGCGTGACCAGGTGCCTGTTGTTCTACTTGCACCACCGTGAGGGTGCCCAATTCGACATCAACCACCTAACCTCGTGCATCTCATCGCCCCGTGAGGCGGACGTGCGAGCCTTCAAGAGGCTGGCAAGGTACCTGAAGGGCGCGAGGGACCGGGGCGTGTGGATGGCCAGGCCCACCGCGTCGCAGGACATCATCGACTTGGTCTCGTGGACAGACTCCGACTGGGCAGGTGGCGCGAAGGAGAGAAAGAGCCAGACCAGCGTGCACATCACCGCGCGTGGGTGTTCAATGTTCGGGATCAGCTGTCGTCAAGACGTGCAGGCCCGTAGCAGCTGTGAAGCCGAGTGGCGCGCTGGAGCTCGAGGTCTCAGCGAGGGGCTTGGGCTGAAGGCGCTCTTCACGTTCGTGGGCTGCAGCGTGCGCATGGGCTGGCGATGCGACAGCTCGAGCGCGAGAGCGCTGGCGAGGCGTCGGGGCACTGGGCGAATCAAGCACCTTGCCACCAAGTCGTTCTGGATCCAGCAGCTGGTGGCCAAGAAGGTCATCACCATCGAGCCTATGGGCGGCGAGAACAACCTGGCGGATCTCGGCGCGAATGCGTTGCCGAGGACTCGCCTCGAGTGGCTCCGCGAGAGCTGTGGGCTGAAGGAGGTGCCCTTGCCAGGGGCCTCGAGGGTTGCTGCGGTCGGGGTCAGCCCGACCGACTTCCAGGCCCAGTTGAACCTGCTGAAGGTGTTGCTCGCAGTGGCCACGTCGCCCCCCGCAGCGGCGCAGAGGAGCTCGACCGAGCTGTGCGATGTACCGCGGGAGATGGGCGAGAGTGCGCTGACTCCAGTGACCACGCTGGGAGTCGCGACTGAGGGCTACTACGTGGACCTGACCGTTCGGATGTCGGGCGTGAGCCTTGGGCTCATGATCGCCATGCTTGTGTTTTCTTTGGTTTGCAGGTTCTGTCCGCGTGCGAGGCCGAGCTGGTGCCGCGCGGGCATCCTGCCGCGCGAGGGCGACGGCGGGGGGGGCGCATCATGTTCCGATCGAGGGGTTGAGCGAGCCAGCAGTTAAGATCAAGTCTAAGAAGGGCGACCGCAGAAGGTCGGTTGCTACCCGGAGCCAGGTCAAGTACGCCTGGTGGACGACTGGCCCCCGTTTCCAGCCTTTGGGGCCCCGAGAGCAGGGGGCGTGGTCCGAGTAAGGGCCTTGACCTGCGTACTGTTTTGGTTGACCGCCGAGACTTTGCGCCGAGGCACTGCGGGTTTAATTTTCCTTTTCTTGAGCCCTGAAGTGAGCGGTGGCCCCGAGGAGTGTCCGAGGAGGAGCGGGACCACCAACCGCTTCCCGCTCGGCCAGGCGGCGTGCTCAGGATCCTGTGTGCATCGGACGCCGTCAATTCAAGACATGCCCGCAGGCCCTTTTGTTCGAGCTGCGTTGGAGGAAAGAGCTCCGTGATATGCTTCCCCCACGCCTCCGCGTAACTTCCGCCCGAATTCTCAAGAAACCACAGGTTTTCAACATTGTCATTGGCTTCTGCCCAGCGGGCCTTTCGCGCCGCATACCGAAATCATTGAACGCCGTTGCGCGCGCCCTGGAGCGTCACGATCCGTGTCAAATACCATCATGTGGCCACTCTCGCGCGTCGGCCGCGCGCGCGTGTCGAATTCCATCCGGAACCTTCAGCACCGACGTGAGGACGGCGTCATCGTCGTCGGCGTGATCAGCAACGGCGCCGTCACTGGCCGTGCCGTCGTCGCGTCAGCATCGCCACCAGCATCGCTACTATCATCATCGTGTCTAGTGATGTTGACGTTGCCATGATACCGCGCCCGCCCAAGCCGCCGACCCGCAGTGAAATGCCCGTTGGGATGTGCCCACCAGTCAGCGCCACCGCGGCCGCGTCGGTCGCGCCGAACTAGCTGGCCGCTGCGCGCGCGTGCATGCGCGGGCTGGCGAGGCCGCAGGGATGCACCAGCCAACGCCGCCAAGCACTCATCGCAGTCGCCGCCGCATGGGGGTTGCAAGCCAAGTTGCGGGTGGGTGGGTGGGATGGTTGCGCGAGCAATTGAGTGGACGATTCCGTGCGAGCCAAAGTTAATTTCACCACGTAGATTGCACGTCGTAGCTCGAATACATTCGCTAAATGGCACCACGTAGCTTGCACCACATATATTGCAACACGTATTACGCTAGAACAAAATGGTTTGGGCCTTCGCTGGCTAACAGGTTGCGGCATTTGTTTTTGTCAGGAAGTGAGTTTTTAAACATCCCACCTGGGATTCACTGCGTTTTTAGATCGCCGTGTTGGGGTGTCTCATGCGCAGAGCACCGCGCCAATTTTCATTGTAGACCGTCTGTAAGACCAGAACTATAATACATCGGGGATCTCTACGATCTGGCGGTGCTGGAGGATATGTCGGTCTCCGCGGCCGCTTCAGAGCGTTACGGAACGCTTTGGAAACGTTCTAGAACGCTTTCGAGCGGATTATGTTGGTCCTAGCCCCGCCCGACCTCTGGGGCCGGTTTCGAGCGGAGTCTGCCTGGGAGGAAATCGGGAAGGGAAAAGAGCATCGTTGGGGCCACGCCACGGGGGAATAGGCTCAGGAGGTGCATCGCCCTCCAGTCGCCCACTGATCGCCTACGCCACCCACGACGCACAAGCAAGAGTATGTCAGGTTCGCTTTGGGTCGACGCGGCTGCGACCCCGCAGCGGGCGTTCAGGTTGAACGCCGCTAGTGGCCCAGAGTCGTCTCATATGGAAAGATCTTGTGATCGATAAGCCGCCGTCGTTCAGGGCTGAACTTTCCACGCTGTGTCAGAAACCAACGCGCAAATCGTCATGACACGAGCCTGCCGTAGCATTGACACGCCGCCGTTGGGAGCCCGTCAAAGTCTTGCTCTTTCGTTTTGTCCGAGGGCCTGGTGCTTCGTCAGCAGTAGCACGCTGATGTCATCGATACAAGAGCGCGCCCCATTCGTTGTTGAGTTGCTCGGGCGCGAGTGGAGTCGGGCGCGACCCGCCAGCTCCTCACCCCTGCCCAGACCCCAGCGGCGCGAGCCGTCAAGGGAGAGTGGGCGATGATCGGTACCGCTTCCACAGGGCCCGCCCTCCGGCAGGCACCACAGCTCCCTGCTGACGCTCCGCGTCGTGAAGCAAGGCGCCGTGCCGGAGGCGCCGGCCAGCGGGGCGGCGGCGTGGTCGCGGCGGCAGCAGGGTGCTCTGCGCGCGTGTGGCTCTGTGTTGCTTACGGTGTTTTGCGCCAGGGCTCTTCCAGATCGCCATCGCAAGACCGCTTTCCCCTATCGGCTGCTCTTTCGTATCCCCGAGGTCCGTGCGTCAATCGTGAACTGTTGCGGCGTGGTCGTATGCGGGATCAGTTTTTCTTTTGTGGCAGAGTTGCCCTGTGCTTCAAGACTACCTTCACAGACGGGGGACTGCAGCTCAGAGAGTTCTCACGCTTCGCGGAACGACTTCTGACGGGGGCTCCGCTTTTGTTTTTTTCTATAGCGTGTCGCTAGAGGGTTCCAGTGGTTTCAAAAGAGCACCACAAAGAGTCCCACAGGGGGAACGGGGAGGGGTAGGGCGTTCTGTCCAGCAGCCGTTTCGCCTGAGACTTCCTACAATTTATTCAGGAATCGTGCTCTCGCCTCAATGCTGGCTACATTTTTGGTCCGGTCGGCCACGACCCCTTGTAGAAATACACTAAGGTGCGCATGGCCGTGTTCTCCTTTCTGCCCTGGTTCTGGCTCGCCTGCGACTTCCTCACAATTATTTCAGGAATCGTGCTTTCGCTTCAATGACGGCTACATTTTCCCTTTCGCTAGAGGGTTCTCCTTTTTCTTTTTTTCTTTTTTTCTTGTTTGTTAAAAAAAAAGTCCCTCAGGGGAGATAGGAGCCGTAGACCGCCCAGTCTGACAGCTTTTTTCGCGTAATCCCACCAGGCCGTCCAGAAACGATGCCCTGGCGAGTTGCCTTGATTGGGGATGTAGAGGAACATGAAGTGGAATTTTGGGTTTTGGGAAACCGTCATACCCCAAGACGGGGAGGATGACGAGGAGGGAAATGGGGGGGTGGACCGAGGAGGGACGAGGAGGAACAGGCGGATGATTATGATGATGCTGATGATGATGATGATGATGATGATGAGGAGGAGGAGGAGGAGGTGGAGGAGGAGGAGGAGGAAGAGAAGGAGGAGGGCGAGCAGAAATGCCAGAGGTCTCGTGGATGCCTCTCGGGGTCTCTTCGGATGTTTCTTGAGAGCTTCTTTGAGTCCTCTTGGGGCGTCTAGGGGGCCTCTTGACGGTTCTGGAGGCCTCTTGGAGCCTCTTGTGTGCCTCGGGGGTGCCACTTGGGGCATCGTGGGGGTCTCTTGGGAGCCTCTTGGGGACCTCTTGGGGGCCTCTTGGGCCCCCCCGGGCGCCTCCCATGTTCCTCTTGAGTCTCCGTTGGAATTTTTGTTGGGGGCCTCTTGGGCCTCCTTCGGGTCGTCTTGGATCTCTCTTTGGCTTTCTTGGGGCTCTCTTGGGTCGTCTCGGAGCTTTCTTGAAGGCCTCCTGGGCCGTCTTGGAGCATTTTCGGGAGGCTCTTGGGCCGCCGTGGACGCGGCGAGGTAAAAGTTACGAATGTGCTAAACATGAACGTTTTCCGGATGGAATGGGACGTGTGCCTCTATGGGGTCCTCTTGAAGGCGTCTCGGATGCCATCCAGGCCACTCCTGGAGCGCTCTGGTGCTGCCTTGGAGCTTTCTGGGTCTGCTGGCAAAGCCCGGCAAGGCACCCTTGGAGGCCTGGAACTGCCGATGGGCCTTTTCCGAGAACGTCCAGGGGGCCCCAAAGCCCCGAATCCCGGGAGTCTGGGTTTGCGGGGGGCGGGGGGCGGGATGGGGGAGGGGGGGGGTGACGGGTTTTCGCCCCCGCCCGGATTATAATAATATCGGAAGAGGCGTGTGTGTACATGTATATATGTATATATATATATATATATATATATATATATATATATATATATATATATATGTATATATATCTGTATTTTTTTGTGTGTATATATACATCGACACATTTACATATATATATATATATATAGAGAGAGAGAGCGACATATATGTATGTATATATATATATATAGACATTTAGATATATATAGAGAGAGAGAGAGAGAGAGAGAGAGAGAGAGAGAGAGAGAGAGAGAACGATAGCGAGGGAGAGAGAGGGCGAGAGCGAGCGAGAGTGAGAATATCGAGAGCGAGAGAGATAATGAGATCGAGAGCGAGGGCGAGAGAGGCTAAGGCACAGACAGCGACAGCGACATTTGCAGATACACAGGCAGGTCCAGAGACACCAGGCACCAGGCAGCGAAGGAGGACGACAGTAGGTAGAGGACGCCCCTTCAGCGGAGAGCCCCCCGAGGAGCACCGCACCACGCACTGCCCGACCGACGCAGGCGCCGCGCGCGCGGCCCTGGTACTGCAGGGCGGGAGCCGCATTGCCATTCGCCGCCCAAGTTGTGCACATCCGACTGAGACGAGAAGATTGTGGAGATGGTGCTGCCTACAGTCCCGCCAGGAAGCGATGCCCCCCCTTACGCCCCTCGACTTGACGTTTGAAGGGGGGGGGGAGGATGCGAGTTTCTGTCACAACGCTAGTGCAGCTCCAGCACTGCAATTGGGGGATGGGGTTGGCGGGCTTCCGCTCCCCGCGGCCAGCAGCGCGCGGGCGCGGACATTGGCCTCCGTCCGTCCGGCCACTTCCTGCGGGGGCATTCGCCGCTCACGGGGGACAGCGTACGGGGGCGGTTTGGGCAGCGTGAGCACCTTGTGAGGAATGCCAAGGACCAGGGCGAGGCCCGTCGTAAGAAGAGCGTGGGCGGAGAGGACCGTTCCGCCCTTCATTTTCCAGTGCCCAGAGTCCCCGCATTCCTTGAGATTTTGACACCGGGCCTCGCTCCAATCCTCACGGCGATCGCGTGATCCTGCCGAAACACGCCTCCCCTGCAACAAGCGAGATCCCACAGGAGATGCCGCACGGGGGCGGTCTTGGCATCGTGAGGACCATGCGAGAACCAGGGCGATGACACTCGTACGTGACAAGTGCGAGGGCCCTGCGGGCCGTGGACGAGAGTTTACAGGTATCCAGTGGCCTTCTGTCCATCCCGCCACCGTGTCTCTGATGCCTGTTGGGGTCTCTCGCGACGCCTCCCGAGGGCTTCTTGGAGGCCCTTTTGGTGCCTCTGTGGATCTCATGGGGACCTCTTTGGGCCTTTTGGGAGCTTTTTCGGAGCCTCCGGGGCGCTGTGGGGGCCTCTTGGGGTCCTCGTGGCGGTCTCGGGGGTCACCTTTTGGTGGACAGGCTCGACATGTCAATTCTCGACGCTTCGTGTATCCCCACCAGCGGTTCTGAGTGCGGGCTCGGCCGCTGTGCTTCAGGCTTGCTAATTTGACAGGCCCGTGGCCCGGACCTCTCAGCTCGGCGACTGCGAATCCGCGTCCGCAAAAAAAATATCCCCACCAGCCGTTTGCTAGGCAATTTAGGACCTCGCGCGGCCCGCTCGGACCTTGACACGCCGTCGGCGCGCTCGCCTGCGGCTGTTGACAAGCAAATCCCCACCAGCCCATCAACGACAGATGCCAGTCGAGTTGCCTTGATCAGGGGTGTATAGCAGGGGCCATCTTGGAGGAATCTCGGACCATCTAGCGCGCTTCAATACCCGTGGGGAATTTTGGAACTGATTTGCATCATTCCCGGCAAATCCGTTCCACGCTAATTTTCGGCGGTTCTGGTCTTTCGGGGTTTTGCTAGAAGCCTTTTCCAGGTATCTCGCGCTGTCTCGGGCGTTTTGGGGGTTTCTGGGACTTCGTGGGGCGTCCCAGTGCCTCCTGGCGCCTCCTCGGGCCTACTGCTGAGGCTTCCTTGGGTTCCTGGGGCTTCCTCTGGCTTTCTGGGGCATCCTGGGGACTTTGGGAGTAGTCTGGGGCCTCTTGGGACCTCCTATTAGGGGGCTTTGGTGTTTCTTGTTTTCCAGGGCTTATTGAAGCTGTCGGGGGCCTCCTGGGGTCATGTTGGAGGCCTCTTGGGCCCTCCTGGAGCACTCTTGTGGCCCTCTTGGGGTGCTCTGGGGGCTCTTCGGGATTTCTTTTAGGTCTTGGAGGCCTTCTTTGGGACATGACGGTCCCGTCGTCGGAGCCCTAAAATGAGCCTCTTGGGGCCCTCTTGGGGCGCTCTTGGGGTGCTTTTGGGCGCTCTGTGGGCCGTCTTGGGCCCCTATCGGACCCTTCGTAGGGCACTCCTTGGGGCCGTCTTGAGGTCTTCAGAGCCCATCAGAAGCGAAACGGTGAGAAGGCAAGCAACATTGACTTTCGTCAGGCCCTTGGTAGATTTTGGCCTCCTGGGGGCCTCCTTGGCGAGCTCGGGGAGCACTTGAAGCTATCCTGGGGCGGTCTTGAGGGCTCTTGGAAGCATGTAGGAAGCTGTCTTGGGTCATGTGGGGATATTTCGAGCGATCTTGGAGGCCATCTTGGGCTCTTTGGGGCCCTCATGGAGCCATCTTGGGTCGTCCCGGGCGCTCCAACGACCTGCGAAACGCCCCGTCCAGACCCAGGGGTAGGGGGGTAGGGGGAGGGGGACTTCCCTTTTCCGAAGGGGAAGAAAGGGGTTAGCATAACGAGCTCGTTATACCACCCAGTCACGCCCAGAGGGCAAAACAAATATAAACATACAGCGCAAAACGGTGAACTTTCATAGTCAGAAAATGAAGCTCACGCCCTGAAGGCTGGTGGGGTTCGTGTTTCCCCTCCCGGTCTCCTCTCCTGGCCCTCCTCGGACGCGCTCCTCTCTTCCCCCATAGCCCGCACCTCCGCCGGCCTCCCCCCCTCCCCGCGGTGGGTGTCTCCCGGCTCCCAGCACTCGCGCCGTCCTGAGCGCGGTCTCCTTCCCCCCCGCGCGTCCCTCGTCTCCCGCCGTGCCCGCCTCAGTGCCTTACTTCGCCTCGGAAGCGCCTCTCCGCCGCTCGAGCGCTGCTTGAGTGAAGCGGCTGCAGACCAATGATACAGAGTCTCCCAGCTCCCCCGCAGGGACTGTATCGATCCGATCGATCAGATTTGATATCGATGTCGGCTGGTTCGGTCCGATTCGATTCCGTGCCGATGCAGCCCGACCCGATGCACATGCCGATGCGGCCCGACTCGCCGATTAGATGCTGACTGCTCCTGCCCCCCGCCGAGGCACGGACTACGTCGAGTTCGAGCTGCTCCTGAGGCTGCACGAGGCGCCCCCCCCCTCCGCCGCGCGGCTCTCTGGCAGGAGCTGCGGGGATCCTCCCCGCCGCCGCGCCGCCCTCTTCGAGCCTCCCCCGCCCCCCGCCGTGCCCTCTGCCTGCCCATCGGGGGGCTCCTCGTCGCCCCCGCCTGGCCTGGCCGGGCTCGAGCAGCCTTCCAGGGCCGTCCTCGGGAGAGGTGCAGGGTCTGGTCTTGAGCGGGCTCCAGCCTGGACGCGGAAGCACGGGAGTTTTCCCATACCACTTTTGGTCCATGCGAACCTAAGCCTTAGAATTCGTTGGGGGAAGATGCTCGCGACGGTCGACAGAGGATTGCCCACCATGGCCGCTAGAGGAACCTCATCATGATACCAGCACCCGAGCATTCATTGGTTTTGGGTGGAGGTCATAGGGTGGAATCCAGAACTCTGTTTGGCCCAGCATATCACCACCTGAGCCGCGCCGAGCGGACGCAGCGCGCGATTGCACGAAGGGCCATTCCAAGCTCCAATCAAGGCTGGCTCTTGTCGCGCCCAGAGAAGAGGCCCAGGAAGCTCGACCGCCGGCGTCATTTACATTTGTTCATTCCAAACCGCCAGACAGATTCTAGAACGGTGAAACGAAAGCTAGACGCTAGACTCGCCGAGCGCGTTCCACTACTCGCGAAGTTCCTACTCGCCAACGTCCGAACAACACATGTTTGCCTGTAATGGATCGTACATTCCCTGCGGCGGATCCAAGCCATTTTCGAGTAGTTACTTCGCGAGTAGTGGAACGCGCTTGTCTATAGCCCGCAAAATAACTTCCAGAACACAAGTCGCAAGCTCCACACATGAGCACAAGCTTTTGAAATAAACAATTTTCCAGAACACATTAGCCTGCGTGGACCCCAAGCAGTGTGCTTTAGCATACCAGACGATGCAATATATGTTGTGCAAGCTATGTGGTGAAAGCTATGTGGTGCAATATTCGTGATGCAAGCGATGTGGTGAAATATATGTGGTGCATGCTATGTGGTAAATTAAATGCGGTGTGAGCTGGTGTAAGGTAGGTGGTGCAACCTATGTGGTAGGAGCTAGCGTACTCATCTACGTGGTGTGAGCTCTGCGGTGTAAATTCTTCGCTGTTGGGTCCTCGTTGCCCTGGAGTGCATGGGTGACCGCCCTCAGTGCAGCCCCTCCCTGGAACCCCCTGCCTCGCTGGCGATGTTCACCACGCCAGCCTGGCTTTCTCCTACAGTCCATCTGGCGTCGGCTCTGTGCCGTTGTTGGAGGGGCCGGCCCACTGTCGTCCGGGCCTCCCTCGGGCACGGGACGATGGCCCCTTGGGTACTGTGGTCGCGCCGGAGTGGTTTAGCCTTCTGCAGTCGCAACAGCACCCTGGACTCATCCCCCTCTTCAGGCAGGTTTGCGACGTCCCTCGGCAGCTCAGCTCCCCTAGCCCGCACATGCCGTAGGGACGGCCCTGGGCCTGGCGCCCCACTGGCGACTCGCCCATCGTTCTTCTCGCCTGAACGCCCACCCAGCATGATGGACACGTCGGCACCTTCGTGCACGTCCCCGCGTCGTCTGTGTGGGTTATGCCTCGCGGCATGCACCGAATTTCTCGGCATTTTGTCAGACCGCACGTGCCTGAGCTTCCCTGGATGCCCGCAGCTGTCAGCCTCCCGCGCAGCCCCGCTGCTGCTTGGTGAGTGGGCCGGCCGGCCTGCGGCGCGTCTTGTAGCTAATTAGGTTTGTTCGTAGGCCTGGACAACTTCTCTCGCCGCCTGCGCTCTTCGCTCGCGGCCGCGACCAAAAAAAATATCCCCACCAGCTTGGGCCGCTTTCGTGTCCCGGAGCGCTTCTGACTCCGCTAGCGCCTTCGCTAGCGGACGTGACCGAAAAAAATATCCCCACCAGCCCATCCAGAAATGATTGCCAGCCTTCTTGAGGCCTCTTGGAGGCTATCTTGAGCCATGCTCGGCTAGAGGCTGCCGGAGGCTATCTTGAGCCATGCACGGCTATCTTGGGCCATCTTGAGGCTGCCTTGAGGCCTCTTGAAGGGCTGTCAGAGGCTCTCTTGAGCCATGCTTGGCTATCTTAGGCCATTTTGAAGGCCATCTTGGGCTATCTGGGGCTCTCTTGGAGCCATCTTGGGCCAAAAAGGGCGGGTTGGAGGGTCTTTGGGAGAGGCTGGGAGGCCTCTTGGGGCCATTTTGGGCCCCATGGCTCAAAAAGAGGGAGGGGAGGAATTCGCCCCCCCCCCTCGGAGGCTCTCAAACGGCATCTCGGGGCCCTCTTGGAGCGCTCTTGGGCGCCTCTTGGGCGATCTTGGGGCCGTCTTCGGCCTTCTTGGGCCCCTCTTGGGCCTCTTTTGGGCCATCTTGGGGCCATCTTGAGGCTTCCAAAGCCCATCAGAAGCGAAAGGGCGATAATGCCAGAACCATTGATTTTCCCTCGGCTTTTGAACGGTTTTGGCATCTTGGAGGGCGCCGTGGAGGGCTCGAAGGGCACTTGGATCCGTCTTGGGGCTGCCTTGGGGCCTCTTGGGGGTATGCCAGAGGCTATCTTGACCCATCTTGAAGCAGCATGGGCCATCTTGGAGGCCATCTTGCGACTTCGAAACCCTCTTGGAGCAATCTTGGGCCATCTTGGACGCTCTAACGCCTCGGTACCCCCCCTTCCTGGCCCAGGGAGGGGTTTCAGTGGAAGAGAGAAGAAAACACGCGTTATACCACCAAAGCCCAGAGGGCTGGTGGGACTACGTGGTGCAATCTATGTGGTGCGGTCTATGGGGTGTGAGCTATGTGGTGCAAACCATGTGGTGCAAGCTATGTGGTGGAAACTATGTGGGGCAATCTATGATGCAGGCTATGTGGGTTAAGCTATGTGGTGCATGCGATTTAAAGGCCTTCGGCCTATCCGCCACCGTGCCTGGGTTGTGGGTCCGAGTTTTCAGGGATGCTTCTTGGAGTCTCTTCGGAGCGCTCTCGGGGGCCTCTTGGGGGCAGTTTTGGGGCCTCTTCGGAGCCTCTTGTTGGCCTCTTGGGTGTCTTTGGGAGCCTCTTGGGGGCCTCTTGGGGCCTCCTGGGGGCCTTCTGGGGGCCAGATTGGGGCCTCTTGGGGCAGGGGCAGAGGGCTCGAAATGTCCGTTCGGGTCCCCCATCTAGGCCCCTGTCCCCCCCCCCCCCCTTCCCCCTTGCAGAGCGAACTTCCCCCCCGGCTCCCGAGCACTGAATGGCGTCGGGAATGGCGTCCCCCCCCCCCTTGCAGAGCGAACCCCCCCCCCCCATCTCCCGAGCACTGAATGGCGTCGGGAATGGGTTCCCCCGCCCCCCCCCCTTGCAGAGCGAACCCACCCCCGGCTCCCGAGCACTGAATGGCGTCGGGAATGGCGTCTCCCCCCCTCCCTTGCAGAACGACCCACCCCCGGGCTCCCGAGCACTGAATGGCGTCGGGAATGGGTCCCCCCCCATGCAGAGCGAAGCTTGAGCGAGCTCAAGTCCACGCTCTTAGAAACTCACACACTGGATCGGCGGATTTCTTCTGGGCCCCACATCGAAGACACCTCCATTCCAGAAGGCGGAAAGGGAGGGGGACGAGGACATGCAGGGAGAGGGGGAGCGGGACGGGACTGGATACGGAGAGGTGGGGTGGAGGGGAGGGGAGAAGGATGATTGGAGGAAGGAAGGAAGGAGGCGGTGAGGAGGAAGAGGAGGAGGAGGAGGAGGAGGAGGAGGAGGAGGAGGAGGAGGAGGAGGAGGAGTAGTAGTAGTAGTAGTAGGAGGAGGAGGAGGAGGAGGAGGAGGAGGAGGTGGGAGGAGGAGCAGATTCAGAAGTTGCGTCCTCTCTTCCGCAGTACACGTCAGGTCTCAATACATTTAGAATATGAGCGCGCGCGAAGCGCGCACGATGGCTCAAACAAGCGATAGTATCGATTTGCAACAAACAAGCCGTTCCTCACGTGCGTTTGGGCAGGGGTGCGTGGGTCCCGCCCCCCCCCCGCCCTGCGGAGAGGGAGGGTGAGAGGGTTACAACCCACCCCCTTGCCTTGCGCCTGCAAGCGACGACGCCGCCCCACCCGCCCCGCCCGTCCGCCCGTCCCGCCCGCCCGTCCATGGTTAGGGGGGAGTTTTTTGGGGGGGATCTCCCTGTTTCGGGAGGCCTTTTGAAGCGCTCTTTCTTAAAAGAGCTCCGCCTTTTCCGCGCAGTCCCAACAACCATGGCGATGCAGGATTGGTAACCATTTTCGCCACGACGATGGGAACAAAAGGTGGGTACTCAGCCCTTCATGGGTCCACTCAGTCAGGGCCTGCGGTGATGTTCAGGATGATGCCATGGAGATGATGTTGAAGATGATGGAAGTCGCCCGACTCCTTGACGAGCGTTGCTTTTGACGAAAAGAAGGCCTCACCACCGCGCCAAGCGTTTTCCCTTTTGCGGCTGACCTGGCGCAAAGGTCCGAGGCACGACGACGGCGCCATGGACCTGCGTTCGAATGTGTGGGGCCACTTGCAGAAGATGCGGCGCGCCCCACCCACCACACACCGCGCCACCAACCGAGCACCGCCCCACCCACCAAGCACCGTCCCACCCACCAAACGCCGCCCCAGCCGTCGCCAAGCAATGCCCCAGCCGTTGCCCAGAGCCGCCCCAGCCGTGGCCCGCCCGCGGAGCCTTCTCCCGATCGCGCTGCGGGCGGGGGGTCCAGCAGTGGCGGAGCGTCTTGGTCTGCTGATAGGCCCACCAGGCAATGATCTGAGAACCTTCGGTGACTGGTATACAAGCTTTGTTATAACATTTCCGGCTGAGACAGATTGTCTCAGCGCGTCGGCTTGATGGTTCAGAGCATTGTCCCGTCCTAAGAGTATCTCGTGGTACGCCTACAGGAAGGCGGTCGATCCCTGCTCAAAAGGGGCGCGATGGAGGAAAATGTAGGGTTTTGGACCCAACACTTAAACATGTAGCGGGCTAGGGGCCAGGAATTTCTCATGGCAAAGGCGTGTGCTGAGGTGCGCGGGCGCCTTACGCGCACTGAAGGCTGGCCGTGCTACAAACTTGTAGGGATGTATTCTCATGCCGGCGACGGGAACCTTGATTTCCGTTTCCGCAATTGGCGTACCCCCTCTATTGGCCTGCCCAGCCAGGAGCAAACGCTCTTGGCGCGCTGTAGTGCACGTCCGGTGGTCTGTCCCACCATCGAAGCGCGCCGTGTGCTGCGGCGTCATCTTCGCCTTCTCCGTCGCCATCCCCGTCGCTGTCGAGCCGTGAACACGGTTGCCGTCGTCGCCGCCGCCGTCGCCGCTGCTGTCGTCACCTCTGTCGGCATCGTCGCCGTCGTCGCCGCTGTCGTCGCCGCCGATGCCGTCTGGCCCATCCGACAATCAGATGCGACTGCATGATGCTTGGATAGCATACGCCATCAGTTCAGCATAGAGGTCAGGGACAACCCATACACTGCAATGGCAACAAGTTCCATCAGTTTGTTATGCTGGAGGGATTTCGTATCCCTGGAGCGATGGGCATGTAAAACCGCCGTTCAATTTGTCACTGGTAGGATGTCTTAGGACAGATGTTTTGATGATCGAATGGAGTTCTGCAGGTAATGTAACGGTGAGTTCAAGGCTCTTGCGAGAAGCTCAAGGGCAGCAAACGGGGATACCAAGGGCATTTTGAGCAGACGTTAGAGGGACTTTGACGGAATGCTAGGAGGAGTCGACAGAGAAAACGGGGAACACACGGGGAAGCGAGAGGGGCAGTGTAATCAGAACGTGTGGAGAAGTTGATCGTGGCGCGCATGGTGCGTATACATACATAAGTACATATAGTAGGTTCGAGGGATGTGCGAGTTTGATTGCATGCCGAATGAATCAGTACAGTAGTCATGCGTTCGGGTCATCTGGGCACACTGTGTTTACGTTCAGCATATCAAGATGTACGTGCATGGCGTGTGTATATATATATATATAATACCATGCTTACATCTGCGAAGCAACAGTAACATGAACGCGAATGTGCACATACACACGTAGGATTTTTATGTATACATGCACTTGCGTTGCCGCAGAAATCCGCCGCTGCGCTTTGTGAAGTTACGTAGCGACATAATAGCGTGGCACGGTCTTGTTGTTGTGTTGTTGTAGGGGTGCGTCTCTGGGAGATCTTGTCAGGGCCACATGGAGGCTTTTCCCCCGAGTGTCTGAAACCTCCGAGGTGCTGGCAATTCTTGGTTTCCTCCTCTTCTGCGCTTTCCTCCATTCGCCTTGTCCTCTCGCCACCCCCGTCCCCCCTGCACCTCCCCACCCCTCCCCCCTTGTCTTGCTCTGCCTTGCTTGTCGCCTTGCTTGCGTTTCGCGGTTCCTTCTCGTCTCTCCTCGTGGTTCCCGTGTGGTTCTGCTGCCCTCGTGCGGTGGTGTCCTGCCCTCTCCAGTGTCACTATCATCCTCCCCGCGTGAGTTCTGCTCTTCGCCGCTTTCAATTGGCGCCCCGCTTGCCTCTGCTGGTTCACGTTTTTTTCGTCGATGGCTGCCGGCGCTTCTCTGTGGATTCCGTTTGTTTTTGCTTGGCCTGGTCAGATTGCGTGTCGCCCACACGTATCGAATTGCGGAGGGCCGTGACCGCCCGTATAGAACCTGGTTTCATTTGCCAGGACTTGCCGCGCCGATCATCGTTCTTCGCCCCGTTTCGATCGGTTGGCCTCCGCGAGGCTCCCGTGCAGCGGCAGCTCTTCATCAGCGCAGGCCTGCTCGCCGTCCCGCCCTAGCCCCGGACTTCCAGGTGGGTCCTTCTTCTTCTCCCCTTGTTCTCTCTCCCTCTCTCCCTCTCTCCCTCTCTCCCTCGTCCCCTCCCCCCGACCCCCTCGCCCTTGCCCTCGACCTCACCTTCCCCCCTCCGCCCCTCCTCCCCTCACCTCCCCTTCCGTGCGCTGGCGCGGCGTGGCGCGCCGTGCCTGGTCTCTGAAATGTGGGAAGTTTCCGCCCGCGTGCCGTGCCGTGCCGGGTTTCGGGAACACGGCGTGGTTGTCGCCCTCGTGCCGTGCCGTGCTTAGTTGCTGGCACGCGGAACAGTCGCCGCCCGCGTGCCGTGCCATGCCGTGCCGTGCCCAGCTCTCATATTGCGGAGAAGTTGTTGTGCCGTGCCGTGCTGTGCGGTGATGTGAACAAGTCGCCGTGCGTCGTCGTGCCCGCGTGCCGTGCCGTGCCGTGCTCTCATATTGCGGAGAAATTGTTGTGCTGTGCCGTGCCCAGCTTTGATCCCAGCTGCCTGTGGCAATCCCCGCCACCGTGCCTGTGCAACAGCGCAGCAGGAAGGAGACTGAGTATAGGAGCAGCGCAATTCCGACGAGTGGTCTGATAAGGACGGGGGTCGTGAATTCGATCTCGTTTTCGTCCGCGCGGTGGGAAGGAGGTCGAGTTCACACCCCGCGGCAGGTCAGCCAGTGGTCTGAACTGGGGAGGGTCGTGATCTCGACATCGTCTTCGTCCGCGCGGTAGGGAGGAGGATGCGGATGAGGAGGAGGATGAGGATGAGGATGATGCTGCTGATTATGATGACGATGACGATGACGATGACGATGACGATGGCGATGACGACGATGATGATGCTGCTGTTGCTGATGATGATGATGATGATGATGATGATGCTAATGATGGTTATGATGATGATGATGATGATGATGGTGGTGGTGGTGGTGGTGGTGGTCGTGGTGGTGGTGGTGGTGATGATGATGATGATGATGATGATGCTGCTGATGATGATGATGATAATGATGGTGGTGGTGATGACGATGATGAGGATGCTGCTGATGATGCTGCTGATGATGATGATGATACTCATGACGACGACGACGATGATGTTGATGATGCTGCTGCTGATGCAGATGATGATGGTGATGGTGATGATGGTGATGGTGGTGATGGTGATGGTGATGGTGATGGTGATGGTGATGGTGATGGTGATGGTGATGGTGATGATGATGATGATGATGATGATGATGATGATGATGATGATGATGATGATGATGAGACTTGTCCTGCGAACGTGTATGGGGTGCAGCACAGAATCCGTTCTATTTCTCTCAAGCCTTGTACCTTCAGGGAACACTTGTCTCCTATGTGCCCCAACCAACGGCGCATGCCTCCCTGGCTGCTGGTCTGCGCCTGGTGCACACTTGACGCTGTATGGCTTGGCCTGGTGCGCAGCGGTGGCGGAGGGGCCCCCCCAGGCGAGCCGCCGTCCTCGACCCTCGCGGCGGAGGCCGCGTCTCGCGAGGCCGAGCGGGTCGCGGCATACGCCCGCAACCTGTCAGGCTGTCTCGAGGACCTCTCGCGGCTGCACGTGGAGGTGGCGGCGCTGGCGTGGCATCTGCAGGAGCTTCGCAAAGACCAGCAGCAACACAGCGATGCAGACTCGTTCTACGTCCACTCGAAAGGGCTGGTCTTGACGGACATCTTAACGCAGGCCGTGAGTGTGTTCAGCCACTGCCGCGTCCGTCATGGCGCTGCTTCCTCGGCTGCAGCTCTTTCAAGCGGGGGAGCGCCGCCGTGGCGGCGGACTTCTTCAACGAGCTGTTGCTGGGCCGCATCGTCACCTTTCACTACAGTGACGACCGCGGCGATTGGCACGAACGAATCCTGATCTGGCCCGCGGACGCTCACCAACCACCCGCTCGATGGACGATCATGACTCCCGACGGTGACGTGTACGACGAGGAGATTGCAAGCGGCGCTGACGGGGATGGTCCTGACATGGCTTCGCTGACCTTCGGGGCCACCCCCGCGTGGTTGTGTCCTGCTGGGCGGGTCAACCGCTTCGTCGCCTACCCGACGGAGGCCGAGCTGCTCGATGTGGTTCGGGCCGCCAGGCAGGACGCGCGGGTTGCTGGCTTCAACGTGTCGGAGCCTCGATACTTCGTGCGGAATGGTGACATCCTCGGCGGCGCCTCCATTGGCAGCCTCGGTGAGGTGCCAGGCTTCTACCGCTGCATGGGCCGCGAGGGTCCCGCTGACCCTCCGGTCGGCTTTGGAGCGGGAGCGGCCGGCCCAGCGTACCTCCTCCCGCCGGTGGCCGCGCCGCCAGGTCTGGACGACGACGCGAGGGACGGGGAGCTGATGGATGCTGGGGGGGACCGCCACGCCCGTGCCTGACCCTGCAGGCGCCCGCGTGCCCTTGACCGCGGAGGCGCCTGCCCCTGGTCTGGCGTTGGTCTGCAGCAAGTCTGTGCCGAACGAGATGCAGCGTGGCGATGAGATCACGCTGGCCCCTGGGGATGCCATCTTGTGCGAGAGCGGCCTGCGTAGTACTCCTACTGGCTTCATCGTGCTGGTGGAGTTGGTGCCGACTCCAATTGCTGGCCAGCATGCAGGCGACGACGAGGATGAATCACGCCTGCTGGGCCCCCTGATGCGCAATCGTGACGGACGTCGCCGTCGGGACTTTCGGGATTCAGTCGGCCAGATGAGTCAGGATATCCTCGATGACTTTTCTCTGTTCGGCCAGAGCGGCTACAAGTGGCTGTGTGGTTGCATCCTCGAGCACGGGGGCGCGCCCGACGGCCGCCAGACCAAGTGGATGAGCGAGAGCGGTTCCACCAGGGATTCGGCCGCCGCCCACATCCACGACCTCCTCGGAGTGTCGATCGAGCTCGCCCAGACCTACGACCATGTCGACGGCTTGAACTTAGTGCGCGTGGATGTGATCGCCCGCGCGTGCCAGCTGGTCGAGGAGACCATGGGCAGCGTGAAGATCAAATGGGTCGAGCACTACGTCGGCCGCTCGAAGCAGAGCGCACGTCGCGGCGCGGCCGCGGCGCCTGGGCATGCCAAGCACGCCGCCGAGCAGCTCGCCAAGGAGACCGAGATCCAGAAGCAGCGGCGGAAGGCGCGCGGGGAGAAGAGCGCCGCCGCCGGCAAGAAGGGACAGACCCGTCCGCCGTTTCGCGAGAGCCAGTTTTGTCGACCTGACGCAGGTGATCTTCCTGGTGACGGGATGCTTCCTTTTGCTGCCCCTGCCGCGCCAGCCTACCCGCGCCGCCTGCCTGGACTATCCCGTTCGGTTCTGGCTCGCACCCATCGTGCTCAGTCCATCGAGGAGCGTGCTCGGGGCGCCGCGGGGTGCCCCGACGCGCTGGGGGCTGCGCCGCGCCGCGGCGCGCGCCGGAGCGCCTCTTTGACGTGGGCGACCTTCTACTTCGACGCGCCCGCCGCCTGCGTCGGCAGATGGGGGCGCCAGCGGGCGCGTCGGCCCAGGGAGCTTGCTCAGAGCTTTTGGGCCGCCCGTGTCTTCGCTGCGACGCGTCGAGCGTTCAACCGCTGTGGCCATCTGCGCCACTCCTCGTGAGCTGGTGCCAACTTGGGAACGGGCCTGGCTGGCTTGCTGACCGATTTGGGGCCCGCGACCGACGCTCTCTCCTGGACCTCGACCGCGCCTTGCTGCTGCCGCCGACGAGCTGCGACGCAGTCGTGGAGTGGGGCGGGGGGCCCACGCTGTGCGTGGACCCTGTGCTAGAGTGCTAGAGGGGGGCCGCGCGATGCGCATTGACTTCGTGGAGTCGGGGGTCCCCAGGGGCGTCTTCGCGGCTGGCAGGGCCAGAGTCGAGGACATCGGGGCGTTCCTCGTTGCCGAGAAGGGCGGCCGTATCAGACTGTTGCTCGACTGGGGGAGGAGCACTTCACGATTTCAGCCTCCTCCCCTAATTTGCCTCTCCTCTGCAGCGGGCTTCGCGGACCTAGAGGTGCCCGAGGGGGCCCCGCTCTACTTCTCGCGCGGCCCCCTGGGCCCGCCAGTGCCCGCGGCTTGCCGCGGGGCCGGCGGGCTGGAGCTGGGTGCTCTGCTTCGCGCAGAGTGCCCGCGAGCGCGTGCAGGGCGGTTGCGACGCCCTCAGGCCCAAGCTGCTGGCCGTGGACTTCACGCCGCCGCCGACGCCGCTTATCGAGCCAATCGCTCCCTCTTCGTCGACAACGTGCTCGTCGTCGGCGTGGATCGGGGCGGGGCTCGCCGCGCGCGACGAGACCGACGCGACGGACTCCGCGGCGATGCTGGGGGGGCAGCTGGTGGAGTGGCCTGCGCGAGCCGCGCCGGGGCCGCGCCGCTCCTGGAAGCTGTGCCTCGGCCTTGGTTGCATATGCTTGGTCAATGCTCCTTGGCGGACGCCGCGAGAGCCTTAGCTTATTCTGCGCCGTCTGCGCCCCTGCGCAGCAGGGGTGTCAGCGTGCTCGGCCCTTGTGGGCGTCAGCGCAGGATGAGCTGACGATCCCCCGAGGCATCCTCGTCGCGCTGAGCTCGCAACTGGGCGCCCCCCGGCCCCCCTAGGCGGTCGTGGCGGATGCGCGCGAGACCGGCCATGCCTCGGTGATCGCCGAGTGTGGCGCGGAGGCCATCATCGCCGCATGGCGCTGGCACGGGAGGTGCCGTTTCCGCCTCGAGTGCGAGGGGGGCGGCGGCCGGTGTCCGCGTGGCCGCGCGGCCGAGGCCGCCTTGCTTGACGCCGAGCCGTCGTTCGCATCATTGAGGGGCGAGTCTGACAAGCGCTTCCCGCAGTGTCTGCGCGCGCCCTCTACCTCTCCAACTGGGGGCCGCCGCGCTGCTCCCCGCTGTTCAGCAAGGAACCTGTGCGCCGAAAGAAAGCAAGAGGATATCTACGCGCCGTCAAGCTGGCTCTGTGGGGCGCAAATTCTCGGGGGACGGGGCGCGCCGCCATGCGGGGTGATCTTGCACTTGCGCTCGCGCTCTTGAAAGGTCG